TTCTGAAGAGCCCAGATCTGTTCTAGACCCGTTAACCCGCGTGTCGATCCGTGCTACGATTTGACCCGATCGCAGATTATTTTTTCATTTTATTTTTATTTTTCAATTTTATTTTTATCATTTTATATTTTAAGTTTTTTATTTTATTTGCAGTTTTTTTATCATTTATTTTATTTCACTGATTTTTTATTATTTATTTTATTGAGTAATTTATTAAATATTTTGTAAAAATTCCTTTTATTTTTTTATTTTTGGAAAATAATATAAAAAATGAAAAAAATCTTTTTAAATAAATTCATAAATCTAACCAAATTATTAGAGAATTTTTCATGAATTTAATACAAAATCTATCAAACTATTAGAGAATTTCGTAAATCAATTTTCAAAAAAAAATATTTTTAATAAAGATTTTGTATTTTATCCTACCAAACTATTGGAGGATTGCATCTTAAGTTAAATCTTATCAAATTATTAAAGAATTTAATAAGTTCTTTTCTAAAATGAAATTTTTAAATATTTTACAATAAAATCTTACAAACTACTAGAAGATCTACATCAAAATAAACCTTACCAAATTATTAGAGGACTTTACTAATTATTTTTCTATACAAAAATACATAAATAAATATGATGATAGAGCTTTTTCAAGTTAAGACACTAGTCTCCATAAATACTCCTAACATGAGAGAATTATCTTAAATTGCTATCAAACTATTGGAGTAATTTTAGGATTAATTTTTAATATTTAATATTTTGGTAAACTATAAACGTATTTAAGGCTTGGATAATTTGAAATCAAACTGGTACCATCTTTGAATGGGCATTGTAAAGGTACTATAACCTTTATCACACATAACCATACTCCTGAACCTAAAATTTGGTTCATAGATCAAAATTTACTATTTAAAGATACCTAAATCAATATTAAGACTATTCTTTAAATATGACATATTTGAATAGGTGACAAATCACACATAAACCAAAAAGATTGGTGACGACTCCTTTTAATCTATATCTAACGATAAGTCTACTAATCTATGCATTATGACAATAAATATTAGTCTTTGTTACACCTACATTGCTGGTAAATGATTTAACACTAAAGCATATTTTATAAATAACTATTATATTAATTAAATAAAATTTAGTAAAAGATATTATATATGTGATATTAAAAAAAAAGTAAATTACACGTATACATACCAAATTTAGGTAACATTTTATTTTAATTACCCAATTTTAAAAAATCATAATTTAATCACTAATATTTTTTAAAAAATTATATTTTTATCACTCAATCATTGAAAACAAACAGCTGAATGACATTGCTTGCCATGTCATTTGAGATTTGTCCTGTGATATTGTCAAATTATTTGACACATTATGTAGCATTACAATTACAAAAATATATTTTTTTTATTACTTAACCTTTTCAGAGTTTCTATCGGTCCGCTGATACTTTTTACTTCATCGTCCACGTATTTTAGTTTTCACAATTTGCAATTGTCCTTGACACGGTTAAACGATTGTGGGGAAATATGATGTGGGCTCAGTTGAATGTAAAGACTTTGAAGTTGAGCAGGGTGCTTTAGTCAGGAGTCGGAAAGTAATTTGGTCAGACGGTTTGCAGGTGGACATTAAAGGATTGATGACTCTACAACAAGCAACAGAGATGCACAATAAAAGATCAACTAAGTCTGGTAAGACGATTTGGAGATGGGCAATTAAGCTCTTAAATCGATAGTTGAAGCTTTAAAGTATTGCGTATCAGATTGAGAATGTAATGGATACGATAGCACCCAAGCACAATGAAATTGAATTGTGTTGCAGAAACTAGTAAGCATTGTTGCTTAATTTTTACCCCCCAATAAACGACCTGGAGATTAGATCGATGAACTCGTTACTAGAACATTTACTTGTTTGTTTCGATATGGCCATTTGTGCTCAATTAACTAAAGATGTTCAAAACCATCTGAATTGTAAAAGATCATGCCTTTTGGACTACCAAATCGTTCGTTCACCGCGTACCAGTTGGTTTCAGTTGCTCGCAATCCGATGCAGTGTTAGGCTAACTGTGTCACTTCACCAAAGTTGTGTGAAAATTGGATGACATGACATGATCCCTTTGTAGGTCCCCTTCTCCTAATTATTGCTCCTCTTCCTCTTTCAATTGCTAATCAATTTGCACCTACTCTTTATCCATTTTTTTAGTATTTAGAGCTTAATTATTTAAAAGGGTAAATTATTAAAGCCAAAAGTATGAAATACAAGCAGTCCACAACATCCTCCAAGGGCCACATGGGAGAACAAATCAAGTGGTAGAACATATAGTTATTGACCATAAAGGTTTAAAAAAAAGAAAAGAAAAGAAAGAGATGCAAGTAACAATTTAAATTGGTGATTCCTTTTCCTAAATTTTTTTTACTTATCTTTACTTTTCAAATGAGTATTCCCACGCACTTGCTTGAAACTGGTTTCAACCACTTCAGCAAAATGATGGAAAGATAATTTGATTTGATCATTCAGATGCAAATATATATATATATATGTAACTCTTTTTCATATACAAAAGTCATCTTTATTCCTTAACATGTTGCATATCACGCATAAATAGTGTAATAGGATAATCCTCGTGAGTTTATAAAATTTGACTCTTTTTAACTGTTTTTTGCCATTTTAGACATACTTGTTTCTTTAGGTATACTTTTTTTTCCTTTCAATATATATGAAATATGTTGACTGAGATTATAAAGCCGCATGCAATGCTTGGTGATCAAGTCATGCTCCTAATAAATAAGATTAATGGGACTCTAAAACATTTTTTTATAAAAAAAAAAAAAAAAAAAAGTCCAAACTTAAAGATATAAGGAAAAATTTCGTGTTTACACCGAAACAATTTTTATCTCATAATTTTCCCTAATGAAAATAGACTAAGGGAGAGCAAGACAACGTTGTAGACCATATCCCATTTATTTATATATATATATATGGGTCATATTTTATTGGCATTAAGGGGTTTTAGGTCAAAAATCAAGCCTTCATGCGCCGTTGCCCACTACTACTTTTCCACTTTCAGCCACTCTTACCTACTCTCTTGAGTGATTCCAAAAAGTTGAAGAAATGAGGGTGAAATTCGTGTGTTTCCTCAAAAACTGAAACTTGAAAGAGATTTGATATCACTCAATTTGAGATCCAGCTGGTTTTACCTAAGTTATCTTAATTTGACTTCATTATTAAAAACAATGTTAGAATAGTGATGAAGAAGGGCCCCTTTAGATAAATATTTTAATTTTGTATTTAACTGTTTAATTTAGTGATCAAAATAATTTAAAAAAAAATATTAAGATTGAGATTCGAACTCCAACTTTCCTCCCTCTTCCTTATGTAGAGTTTTATTTCCTGAATGATAAAAAAAAAATTTCACTTGAAAATAAAATTCTAAATTTTTTATTATATGAAATAATATATAAAATTGTATTTTATTATACATAATAAAAATTGAGGTTACCAAATATTTTATATTTCAATACAACCTTTTGGATGTGTGGTTTATTTTATAGGGATTTTTTACCTAAATTTATTTTGATGAATTAAATTATAAATATTTTAAAATGATATTTTAATAATTTTAATAATTAAATTTTTGTTCATTTATTTTCAGATTTAATGAATAAATTACAATGAAATAAAATATATAGCCTTAATTATTTCAAGCAATAACAAAAACTTTTTATGTTTGAGTTTTGTATAAACTAAATTTTGACCACTGAAATTAAAATACGGTACTCTATCAAAAAGAGAAAAGTGAAGCACTCTCGGAATCCTGCCTAGCATCATGCCACCTTTGATTGGTTTTCATGGATAGGCATAAAATGGGTGTTAAATAAAATACTGTTTTAAATTGTTTGAATGTTATTAATTTTTATAAAATATAAAAAAAATTTTGATTTTAATATATTTAACATTAAATTTTAAAATTTTTTATATTTTCAAAGGTAAAAAATAAAAAATAAAAATTTTAAAATATTAAAAGTAAATATTAGATATTTTAAAAAAAGATAATTTTAGAATATTAAAAAATAGATTAAGAAAAGAAATAACATTTTATGAAAACTTGTGATAATTGAGTGCGAGTAGGAATTTACGATTTTCATTTTTCTGCAATACGTACGTTTCACCCCAAACAGCCAATCATTGCACACCCATGCCATACTAGAATCATAGGTCAGTCACTCATTTCAAACAAAGACACAGTGGGAAAAGAAGAAATCTCTCCCCCCCCCCGCCAATCACTTTATGCATCGAAGCAAGACCGTAAACTGAAAAAGCAAAGGCGTTCAGAAATTCTTCTTCGTAAGTAATACAGTACACTTAAAAACTTTAAAAAATAGAAAAGAAAAAGGAGCTGTACATCATCGTGGGCCTCACGGCGCAAATCCAATAAAGTTCCTTAGGAAAAGGGTCAACAAATAATAACAACGGTGGGTCATTTTGTAGGCACAGTTGCAAAGGGCAGCACATATTCTGGAGAAAACAGCAATGTCGCTTATCAAATGTGCTTAAAACCCTGCCTCTCTGAAACTTCAAGATTGCCATAGCCAAAATGTTACTGTCTGACAAGTAAAAATCTTTTACTAGAATCAAATTAAAAAATGATTTTTGATGAGCTGAAAATTAACCAGGGAAATTGTGTTAGCATTTACATTAGAAAAAAATATATTGAATACATATATTTTTAACAATTTTTATATAAAAAATTACAAATACCAAATTTTAAATTTATTTAATATCATTTAAAAAAATAAGTACATAAAATAATTGAACTTAGTTATAGAATGTATTACTATAAAAAAAATTAAAGAAAAAGTTGGATATTCAAGTGCATATTGTTTTTTCTTTAACCATAAAAGTTGGGTTCTATTGGGCATGATAATTTTCCAGGCGAAGTGGAAGATTGGGGGCTGGAGAAATGAAAGAAACTTGAAAAAGAGGGAATTGAATTGAAGCACAATCTATTCGGTATACAAAAAAAGTATATTATGAATAATTATTACAAAAAAAGGACATATTTAACAAACTTAACTACCTTAACTAATCATATGCATCAACAGCCACCCAAAACCCATATCCAAAGGGGGAAAAAAAAAAAACAACAACAACAAAAAAGACAAGTTAAAATACCAAATCAAAAACATAAATTCAAAAATTTTTAACAGAAAATGAAAATAAAAATTACTAATCAAGCGCATTAGGCCCAGTGCAGTAACTCACAATATGATTCCAAACCCACTGAACTAAGTATTTTCGTCTGATCCCATTCATGTTATACGTGGCACCAAATTTGTCGTTCAATAACTGTCCCATGTAAGAACCTCCACCGCCAGTTCCATAAATACCCTCGCATAAATCCGCTATTTCAACGGGAGCCACGGGGTCTTGCCCCGCGTACCAAGCGTTCACCAATGGGTTGGTTGCCAGCTCAGCAACCTCGTGTCCGATCACGCTTATCATCCCGTCGATTCCCACATCACCGTTGGGTGACTTTAATGGCTTCAACCCCTGCATGTATTCCGGTACGGCGAAGGGATAGGCGCATAATCCCGGGCAAAGCTTCGCAGAGTTACCCACCCATGCGTATGGGAGCGTGTAGCCCACTATGGATGGGAACGTGAAATAGTGGAACCCACAAACTTGGCCGCAAAAATCCTGGACGTGCACGTCATCGGATGTGAGCAATAGGTAGAGCCCACTCTTGGCATTTATCGGCAACGGTTTTGTACTCGCTGTTACGGCGCTTTTTATGACGGACTGTATCGATAAGCGTGTGAGGGACTTTCCGTGCGAGTAAAAACGATCGTTTTTCTCTTCCCCTAAACTCACCGTCCGGGAGATGTTGGAGCCTGTTTGGTCAGTGTAAAGCTGTACGGTCTTCCACCACCCGGCAACCGAAGGGTGCTTGGCATTCACCGCCGATATTGAGTTGATGAACTCGCGGATGATCTTCTTTTGGGATTTCTGCCACCGGCCGTACCAGATTGTGTGGATGGTGATGCTGGCAGTGAGGACTGGTCCCATGTGGTATCTCATGTGGACGAACTCTGATGAGCCCTCAAATTTCTTGGAGCCTCCGAACATTAAATCAGAACTGTTGGGTTTTAAGTGGGGCCATGGACGATATCCGATTACCGGTGTCACTATTTGCAGTGTAGCCACTGCGATGAGTCCGAGAAGCACCGGAGTCCGATGCATTTTTGCTAAGTGGATTCTAAGAGTGGAAAAAAAAAAGGGGTAGGCTGGAGAACTAAGTGTATGTGGCGATTAGGAGTATATATAGAGAGAAAGAGGGAATTCAGACATTGATTTGAATTGGTCTTTGGGGCTTGAGGGTATTTTGAAAAGGGAAAAAATAGAAAAGGGATTTTCGAATTTTTATGGTGTTGTTGATTTGCGGGTAATGGAGGACAGATAGATTCTTTAAAGTGACGACTGAAGACCAAAGAGAGGAGGGAGTTGAGGGAAGAGGGGTAAGGGTGGCAAACTGGGGCCTGCGGGGTCATAGTGAGGGCACGAGGGTGGTCGTCATCATCTGATCTGTTCAACTTTTTGTTACTAATAGCACATTGAAATATGGCGGGTAAGTGTAGTTTGGGGATTGAGAAATAGTTTTTATGGGTTGTTTGGATTTTCGAGGGACCAGGGATGAACACTGTTTTATCGAGTTACCAACCACAGATGCATCCTTGTCTATGGCTTGGTCACGAGGCTAAAATGGAACAGAGGCTTTAGTTTAACTTTAGTTCAGTGAATTCATTAGTGATTGGTTACTAGATTAGATGATTGAACTTAAAATTGAAATATTTTAGAATGAGAGCATATTTTCCCAAGGCGGAACAAACATATTATTGCTAGTTTTCAAAAATCAAGTGTACCAAAAGAAGACACATGGTTATTCGGATTTATCATTTTGGTGTAACTTTTTAATTTAATAATCTCAACTCCCTCTTCGTGATATTAAATTTACTTAAGTACTTGAAATCTTACTATATCTATACCTATGATGCATTTACTTTTGAAGATAACTTTTTATTTTTTTAACTACATCATTTTAGTTAAAAAGAAAAAAAGAAGAAAGGGCGGCATTTACTATATTTAAAGCAGTAATGCTTTACACAACTAATATGTTAACCGTAAATCTGCATGAATGACTACTTTGTAGTTGTTGGGAGTGCAATTTATGAGCAAACAACCTCATTTAACTGCATGCATATGATGGGTTTTTGTATGCTTTCAAAGCATTTATCACATGTGTTATTTTATTGTCTTCCTTTGCATTTGTAGTTACTTAAAATTATTAGCTTTTTATTGGCCAATTAGGAGTATCAGTTTTATAATGAAGAATACTAATACAAAAAGAGACAGATAAATTTAACCCCTTCTGCCTATTATGTTTAGCCTTCAAATGTTGAAGCATTTGTAAATTTTATCATCTACCGTTTATTCTAACAACTAACGTCACAAAGTACACTTCTAAGATTGAAGAGGTATAAAATTGATAGGAAGCTGCACAACTATAATCTAGTTGGGTTTTTTTTTTTTTCTTAAACCAGAGGTCGAACACACTGCAATCTAGTTGGGAATTGAAGCAGCTTATTTCCACCGAATTTTTATTCACCCAATAAAGAAAAAAAACAGCGAAATGTGAACTGTGGCTCCAGCGTAGCAGAGTCTAGCCCACTTGGCAATTCTGTCCATATAATTAGTCCTTCAACACTCTTCGTTTAATTTACTATGACATCCCCCCTTATGGCCTTTTGCGCTGTACAAATTGCGACGATTGGGACCCTTTTTATGTCTTTAACATGTATAATATATCTAATATATATATATATATATATATATTTCATGACAATCCTTTAAACGAGGGGCATTCTTGAATTTTCACTGCTTAAATGAGTGCTTACTGTGCATGGAGAGTCTTGGGGGAAAGGCCAAATGGGGACGAAAATCGTGCAAACAAAATTTTAATATATTTCTATAAAAAGAACATAGGAAAAATTAAAATAAAAGCGTTATAGACATTTATTAACTACTGCTCCTATTACGCCTAGGATGTTTCATGGCTGCAGCTTTTTTTTTTTTTTTTAATTCGGATCTTTTCATGTTTAAGAATATAATCGAATTAAGTCGAATCAATATAATAAAAAATTTAAGTTTAAATTTAACTTTTAACTTGTAACTTGATATTTGATTTAAATTCGATCGAATTTTATTTTTTTTAATTCGAATTTAATTTATGATCGAAATCGAATTACTCAAACTTATTCAATTAAGCTCAATTAATATATAAAAATAAGTTCGATTATTAAGAGTTCAATTATTTATGCTCGAACTTAAACTTAAATTTAAGATATTTTATTAATTAAAATAATAAAAATTATTTAAATATAAAAACTCAATTACACTCACGAATTACACAAATCGGATATAAGAATATTCAAACTCGATTCAATCAATGAATCGAATTACTCGAACTCGAATTCGACTCGATAATAATCGAATCAAATTTAAATTTTATTCAAATTAAATTTGAATAATTTATAAATATTAATATATCATTTATATCTCTATTCATGTCTAGTTATAGCAAAAAAAATTACGAGAAAAGGCCCAATGATGTTAATACGAACCGGTTAAGCTTATACAAGAAAAAACATACAAGCAAAGACCCGATGAACAATGAAAAAGTTATGTTAAAGAATAAAGGGTTAATGTCTTTTTCAAACTTTATTAAAGTATCAGCGATTGCCTTATATTTAATTTAAGTTTAATTAAGATATTGACTTAGTACTAAGAAAAATATTCTAAAATTTTAATTCAGATTTTATTACTTAGTTAAATTATATTTTATTAATTGTTTATTTATTAATGTAATAATTAATTAATTCTATAAATGTAATACTTGATTATTAAAGTAATTTTAAAAATTTTCACTTGAATTTGTAATATAACTATTTGCATGATTTTGAATAAGTTTAATTGAATAAAGGGTTAAACTTATTCACTTGAATTAAAATATGAGAAATCTTTAAAATTATTTCTAAAATTTTTAAATTTCAATTTTTTCGCTCTTTGTACATTGGATTACGAATGAAAATTGATTTTAGAAAATTTGTACCCTTTCATTTAAGAAAGAAAATATTAATAATGTATATTTCTTTTTTATACCAAAAATGACGTACTTGAAACTGTGGTTGAAATAGATGTTGTGCACAGCAAAGAGCTTTGCCCTCGTAGTCAATGGAGTAGAAACTAGAAATGATGGTGCCCAAAAACAAGCGGCGGTGGAGGGAGCAAAGGAGGATAGGGGATGAATGGCTGCTGCGCGCTGGGTGCTTGCGGCTAATCACGGAGTAATTTGCGCGGCTCCTAATCATGACCAAGAAAAGCCATCAGCCAGTAGCAATCCCACAGCTTACGTTGAGAGCCATTTTTTTAACATTTCATGAATCATTCTTTTTTATTATAATTCTATAATTTTAATTATAACAAAAACTTATATAAAATACGTAATTTATAAATTGACTTGCACAATTTTAAAATTTCATTTTGTAATTATATTACAATAATTATAAATTATATGTTTTTTCATACTCTGGATCCCACAATTAACAACTGAACCAATCAAATTCAAAATTCTGTTGTGTGGACCTTAGTTTTTAGGGATTCAAAGTGCGAAAAAAAAATCATTAAAAATTGTAGTGTTTAATTCAATTTAAATCAATATTTTTTATTTAGTTGGATTAAGTTTAAATATTAAATGTATATATTAAATTTAAATCGAAATATAAAAAAATTGAATTAAATTATATATTTTAATTAATTTTTTATATATTTTTTAAGTTTTTATAAAATAAAAATAATTATTTTATATAAAAATTTATTTAAAATTTTATTAAAATAATATATAAAAAATAAAATTTTAAAAACCAATTAATCAAATTAATTAATAAAATTTAATTCAAATCAAATTAAATTTTAAAAAAATTAATTTAAATTTAAATTTAAATTTATAAATTTATAAATTATTAAAAAAATTAAATCAAATTCAATTCAACCCGAACCATTTATCTTTCCATTGAGATTATTATGCTTGTTTTGATTGTTACATCACCTCCCCTTTTACATGTGCGCTCTACAGATATCTTTGATATATGTTTATCAGCTACTAGTGAGATAGCATCACGGAACTTTGGTGGGTTAGGCGTGTTCTACCGGGTTACATGTAAATTTGGTGATTCATGTTATTATATTATCTAAAATATTTATTTATATTATATTTTATACAAAAATTATATATTATAATTTGTATCAATATAAAAATATAAAATTTATTTTTATTTTATTTTATTAAATTTATTTATGATTTTTTTAAAATTTTAAATTATATTATTTTTATATTTTTTATTTATATTATTTTTATATTATATTATTATGTTGAATTTCAAATTGCCATGCTATACCTTCAGCCTTTTTGACTGCCATACGTTCGGGCATAGTGCATGTGAAACACGAGCAATGTTGCAATGGTGATTCTTCCGAGAAATCGTTGGGTTTGATTTTGAGTTTCAAACCACAGATTTGGGACTATTTGCTTCATTTTTCATGGGCAGTTCATATTTTGACGTTAACAACTCTATAATTTCTGTCGCATTTTAATTGAGATCAAGATTTATAAAAAACTGTTTGTGACTTGCGAGTACTTATTAAGCTATTTTTTTCTGCCAGCTCTATTTTTAAAATATTTTTTAGTCACATAATTATTATAATATAATTAATCAATTATATTTTAAAATTACATGAAATTTATCAAAATTTTATGTAAAATTTATATTTATAAATAGTAAAGTTTTACACAATTTTTTATAATTAAATAATTATAAAATTCTAATAAAAAATTATAAATGAAATCTCCCATGCTAATTGGCACACATTAAATGAGAAATACTCTACTGCACAAAGCCAGTACCTGAGAGGCTCCCTTTGCCCCTTTTTTTTTTTTTTCCATGTTGAGGGTAAATAAAAAAGCAAAGTACTGATGTTGGCGGAGAGGGAAATGTCTACGAAGTAGGTGGGGGAAAATCTATGGAGGTTTCCCTTAAGGCTGTCATCTACAATAAAAGAGAATAAGGGTTTGAGAGAGACGAGAGGAAAAAGATAAGAGTTTGATATTTTTATATTTACAGCTATATACATGAGGGAGATTTGAACTGGTCCACTCCCACTTTGGGTGGGAACTGTGAAGATAAAAACTCCAATCCGATTCGCTGGCTGTAGTTTCAGCTTTATTTCGTGAGCTTTTTGGTAGAAGTCGGTTGGTCTCCCCGTACCATATTCAGATTTCAGAAAAAATTGAAAAAAAAAAAAACAAAAAAACTCAAACTTGATTGGGGTTGCA